TGATTAACCAGGAAGAATGTTATAATAACCACTGAGAGAACGATGTTGATTGGCGGTGAACTTTCAAAATTATAGTAGTGTGACTTCGATCTGTGTTTTATAAAGTAACGAGGAAGAGCTTGAAACATATTGCCGTGTTTTGATCAGCGTGCCACGTACTAGGACAAGTGAACGTTCAGTGGATCTTGCTGCTCGAAGTCAGTGAAGCAGTTGTGTGTTGCACAATATTAGCACTGGTAAATCCGAGTATAGTGTAATGAAAACCCATTTGGTCCACCATTTTTCTAAGTCTCGACACAAAAGGCAACCCAACAGCGAACCAATCCGAGGACTTTGAGATACAACATACGGATTGGAGATATAGTAGCATTGTTATGTCGTCCGCTGTTTCTTCAGTACTTGTTAATCGTTTATCCAATCGAACTACTGCTTGCAACGTAACAGGTGATACTGCTGCCAGTCAGTGATAACTTCTGATTTCTATGATGCTCATAGTTACAAGCCCCTGTTGCTGGATATGGACCGCGTGCTGCAAGCAGTCCGAGGTTTTTTTTCCTAGCAATTACGCCAGATGTTTGGATCCTAGCGTGATTCATAGATCTTTCTAAAGTTTCTGATTCCTGGCATCACATCGAGTAATTAAGCCTTCAGACTGGTCCCAGTGTAGCCGAGACATGAAAAAGAAAAGCTAGTCAGCGTTCTTTGTTATTGCCGGTGGTCGTGAGTTGTATTTACTATGGAAGACTAGCCCACCCGAACACCTCGGCCTCTGCCATTCGACCTGTTTAAAAATAATTTGTACGGTGCGTTCCTCTCGGGAGTGGCCAGGTCACAAAATGTGTGAATTTCGACCCACTGGGACTTTCAAAGTACACTAGCTTCCTTGAGTTACTAATCAAACAAGACGAATATTTGTGAACAGAAAGATGATATAAATACCGTTGCTGCCTATTCGATTTTCATACAGTTTCAAGAGTCCAGGGCGTATAGTCTTTTGAGAAGCTAACCGATTAACAAATTTTGTCGATCTCTCACCACTCTCGGCCAACTGAAGCTAAACCATTACATCTCTAACGGTGAATTATACCGATAAACTTCCGTAAACTTTTATACTATTCGTATGGTAAACCTGATCATATTAAGTACGTATATGAAGGCCAGAACTACCGTGTGAGTGAAGTTAGATGGACATTCTGTAAAACTGTATACCTCTGTTTACATGTTACAGTTAACTTCCTTGGTTCAACAGATGTTTAAAATTCACTTTAGCGCGTGAATGTGAACTCATTATGTACAGAGGGAGCTGTAAATCCGTTGTTTAAGAGACACCACTAGGTCGCACGGCTTCTAACTGTCAGGCGACGTAGAAAACGCTTGAACTACTCAGTGTTACTGGTCACCGTTTATCTCTTATAATGAGGCTGATGTAACGGTGTTAATTTACCCAAAGAGAAATCAGACGAAACACAGTCGTAATCATAGGATTGTATGTCGCACTACTAATCGCGAAAGAATGTTCCCGCAATAATACACGGTCGTACGAGCATACAGCAGAACTATTTTTAAATTTGCGATGTTACTATCTTTCGAATAGTGTGAGAAAAGGTACCTTCAAACAAGGATCACTCTGATCGACCATGGTCACCAGCGTATTTCCTAGTACAGCCGAGAAACACTCGGCATCATTCAAAGTATGATGTGACTTCGAATACATCCAGTGTGTACAGCAATGATCACAGTCAGACATCTAGGTCTGATTCGCTGCATTCTCGGCCTAGGCATACCTATAATTGCTAAGCGAGTCAAATTCTTGAGTCATTGGCTCCAGATAAATCACACTCGGATGATAAAGACTTCTCACCACAAATCAGACGGCTGATTTGATGTTATAGCTAGTTACCCTTGAGAGGGTTATTTTCGGTGGACAAGTATTTTTCTTAGGATATGTTGAGTTTGACAGAGAATCCTACGTGCTAAAATCAAGTCTCCTCTGGTGTGCTGATGTTGCGTTGATAAACCCCTCAATTTGTGTGGCTTATCTAGACAGGGTAGCGAACGCATTGTTGTTATCCCTAATGTAGCTCTACATTGTACCTTCTCAGTGAAAATAATGTCCTTCACGGCAACCGTCGTTTAAAGTGTTTTCGCCTCAAGGTATCTGGCGACGTTGGAACTGAATCGTTGAGTCAAACTGAAGTAGGAATTGCACTCAATCCCAAGTTAGGGCAGGGTTTGCCCGATTGGACCTGTGGAAACAGTCACCCGTGCGCTGTCTGTCCGAGTATAATGGTTAAATACTGTCGAGACAATTCAGAAAAATGCTGTATATCCAGTACATCAGCGTACAATTCAAGGATAAGCTGTACAGTTGTCCTATGAGACTCTGGACAACTCTGTGAAGCAGACGGAACACTCAAGCATAACCGTACCACCCAACGATTCGAACGCCTAGTTCGATCGTCCTTTGAATGGAGTAAGACCGGGTGGCATGTTTGGTGTCCAGACACAATGTCTTTTAGTCGTGAAAGATTGCTTTACGTACTGTTATCGCACGGTTTTTATATCTCGAATTCCGCGTTTCAACACAGAAGCATTGTGTCACATGTAGACCACTCTGCACATCTCAGTTATGGACGCAATCCGATCATATAGCAGTCAGCTTCGGGTGATGCTACTCTTCTAAAGACTGTCATGCATTTTAAGTAGCCACCTGGACTCGGATCCAGCTGTTGTGCGAGTCCGTTTTGTTTCGTCATTTGCCTAGAGGACATACGCTCAGAAACGTAAGATATCTTACTGGTGTTCAAACCAAAAAGGCAGAAAGAATTCTAGTCAAAAGGCACTGCTATGCAGATTTTCTCAGTTAGATTCAAGTGAGAGAACGTAACGCACGCTGGGAACACGCAGAGGTGGCTGTGGAAACCTACTGCGAAAAGGTGTGTTCCCAGGATAATATGCAGTTTTGACAGGATTATCTTTCTGTTATGGTGATGAAACTTATGGATAAGCATCACTCGGTTTCACTTGTCTCTGAATAGTACACTAGTCGTCCAGCACTTAGGCTCAAGCCTACCAAAAAACCGTGAGCATCACTTGGATGGACAATCAAAAGAGATGGTTTGAAACTATCTGTCTGAGAATAGTAGGAATCTGTCTTCCCTGTTTGTGATTGTGCTGGCTGTCAAATTGAGGCCATAAGTAAAAAAAAGTTTCCCTTAGCACCAGCCAGTTGCGTCGAATTGACAGGTGATCTGCATTTTGTGAGTAACATATTACATGGCTTCAACCGAACCGTATGGACGGCTGAACTCGAATGGTCAATCACCGCTTATCAGACAGTTCTGTGTTGGAAGCATTAGCAGGAACCTTCAGTCAGATATCTTCTATCTGTCTTTTCCGAATGGTTGTGAAGATTGACTAAAATCCTTCAGGTGGTGTGGGAAACTAAATGAATGGTACTCGTCAGCATTAATTCCCGTTTTCAAAAAGGATGCAAGAAGTATGTGGTTACCACAGGGGTATTCTGGTATCATTTGTGAATAAATCACTCAATTGCCTTATTTTCCGTAAGCATACTAACCTCAGAGGATGTCAGATAAGTGAGGAACAAGCGGGATTAACATCCTTTAAAATGTACGTTGAAGACGTTTTTATCTTGTGGCAGGTTTTGAAATACCGGCACTCTTACAAGTACCGACGGTCTTAGTCTTTTTAGTCCTAAAGGCTGCCTTTGATTCTGTTGCTCATGAAGTTCTTTGAACTACCTTCTTTGCAAAGGAATTCCAGATAAGTAATTGTACGCGCTAAGATCATCATACACTTATTCTGGAAGCATGGGGAGATTATTGACAACCACCTCGTCGGTTCATCACCTCTAGTGTTGTTCGCCGAAGGTCACACCATCCGTTGTTCAATTTTATCATGGATGACATTCTGTAGTGTTACTTTACAGCCACAGTAAGTTTGGTGTCGATTTTTCTCTTGATGTCAACTAGTTTAGTCCTTCTTACGAAAGTATGCAACCATACCACACAAGATAAACGACTTCGCTGGTCTATGTGGGTTGATTCACTCTAATAACCGCGTTTTTATTACAGGCAGTCCGCTGGAGACTTTGGACCGTTTCACATATTCGATTGGTATCGTCTTTATTCAGCTAATAACGTTGTTGATGAGGTATCAATTAGGTTATCAAAGACACGTGTTGCCTTTGCCAACCTGCGTCATCTGTAACATCGAAATGACGTTTGGTTATCGGTGAACAGGTGAATGTATGATGCCTATGTGCGTCCCGTTTTGATCCATGTTGCAGAAACGTGACCTGTCTGTGATGAATATGTCAACAGGTTTGTTGTGTTTGACCATCACTTTTTCTACCATTTAACCCACATCAAATAGAGTAAACACATGAGCTACGTGGCCACTTTTTTTAGCACGCACTGGGTGACGTGGATATTAGCGCTGTTTGTGAGGGCTAAGCCACAGGTTTATCGCACCTGGTATGATTTACTGAGCTCACCAACAATGGAGTAAAACTGTGTGGTTACCAAGCAATGTTGTGGTCATGAAATATGAAAACCCTCATTAGTCCGCTGAATATGGTGGTTACGTGTCAGTTGCTCGTTTAGGGACCTCGTGCTCACTGAGATCTACGGCTACTAGCATGCAAAAACCACAATTTTGTTTCCTCTGTTCAGTCCTGTTTTACCTACTTTGATATTTTATGTTACATATTTTATTTGACTTGGATATTTTACATTACTGGCCGTTTGCGACTGATGAGAGTAAATGAAATGTCAACATATCGCAATATATGTCTTCTTTCTGCTCTAATGAAGTGGTTAAAGGAAACTCAGTGTTTCACATTATAAATGAGTGAATGGATGACTTGGTGACGATTGGTAACGTCAGAAAACTGGGTCCAATGCTGTTCTAAGTATTGCTAATATGTAGTTTGGCAGATTTATGGTTTTCAGATGAGACCCAACTGTGAAAAGTCAGGGCTTCGGCTGGATTCGAACCAGCGACAAGAACACCATGCCAGAACATGGCAAACGCTCTACCAGCTGAGCTACGAAGCCACGTCAGGAGCTTGGAAATTTCACATTTAGACTCTGTTATCCACCCGTTCCACTGTCTCATATGGAATCCACCAAATGATCCAGGGGATCGTCTTCCCCGGCAAGATTTCTCGAACAGTTCACGCTGGAATCCACCAACGCCATTGTTGAGCACAGAAATTGTGTTACTAATATTGCGAATATTAGAATTACTAGTATCACTAGTACCTGTATTACTAGTATCATAATAAAACCTGGCCATCCTAGAATTGAAAGCTTTAAAAAACTTCATTATGCTTTATCTCAGAATATCAATTACAGGAATAATCCCAATAGAACATATCAAGTCTAGCTATGCAACTAGATTGTTCACATTGTTCATGTTACAACAAGAATGAATGTGGAGTCAGTAGGAGTGGAGGTGCAAAAGATACCCAGTTTTTCTTAAGTACCGATTCGTACTTCGTGGACTGAGGGAACATGCGCAAATTGCTCCCAGTAAGTTTTAAGGGAAAGGTATAATTGTGCAGGTTAAATTACCCTTGTGGGCTACGCCAATGGTTGCTATTATGAAGGAACATCACAAATCACCTAGAGTCTGTTATGGAAGTAAACTGATGCTGAGTTCGAAGACAAAGAGATGCGCAGTAGAAACCGAGGGATCAGAGGGTTTTATGAAATCTCTGCATGATTGCAATATGTTCTCTAAAAACGATCAAACAAACGGGTACTTGCAGATTCCATTGGAGTCAGATTCTAAATTGTTGGCTATACTTGATTCGCTTTGAGAATTGTTTCAGTAATGCCTTCTACCGTTCGGTTAACAGGTCTCAGTTGGTACACTTCAATCTGTGCCGGTCTATCGTGAGTACTGGCATATTTAGTCGACTTAATTGCGTAGTGAGGATGAGCGATCGTGCTATACCACTTACACGACTGCTATTCAGTTGTGGGACCAAACCGTGCATTTTGATGTCGAAGTAACTGCAGGAAAAATGCGGAAGAAACATCGGAGTGCAGCATCGTCCAAAATAGTCCTTGGAATGTAAGGGAACTGAGCACTGACTCCTGTAGCAACCGAGACGGTATGGGCCGAGTACCGTATGCAAATGAGTGTTTTTGTTTTTTGTCTTGTTTAAGCGCTATACCCATATGTTGCTTTGTCGAAGAAATACCCTTTGTGCCGTCCGCGTCCTTGGATCACAGCTGCCAGGCGGCAGTGCGGCGGTTTAGGGGCACCCGGCTTGGACCAGGAGGCGACGCTCTGGTTTATGTCGTGTCGCTGCTAGCAGCGTTGTCAAGAGCCCTGCCACACTTGGATCAGGACTCAGAGCAGCGCATGCTGACGGACCAGTTCTTGGACGGAATGCAACCAACAGTCCGGAATCAGCTCACGGTGGCTCTCATCGCACATCCAATAACGTTGGAACAGCTGGTTGATGCAGCTCGACAATTACTGGGAGAAAGCTCCCCGACAGTTAGCGAGTTGAAGACAAGTGAGCCAAGTGAAGTGAATGACCAGCGAGCCGTAGTGGAAAAGTCGACTCAAGAAGTAGCGGCTTTGAAGATGAGGAGGGAGGAGAACCGTGGCGACGTCTGAAGTTTGGTAAACTCATAACGAAATATGGAATGGTTCCGTTAACGAGAAAACGCGAACGTCGGCTTGGACAAATGGAATCGGACATACCCGGAGCAACACCAGTCAGTGACAATCGGTTGCTGAATGAAGTGCTATGCACATTCCGAAAGTTTTTCACCACGGATCAAGACCCATATGTCCATTGTGACTGGATTGAACATGAAATCTCCGTTGAACCAGGGTGGTTTTGGCCATTCGGCCCCAGAAGAACTCCGGTTCACCTGCAGCCGGAAATTAGGCGACAGATATCTTACGGCTGTAAATTGTTTCATAGTCTTGGCAAGTAGATTGCGTGAGCAGATTTCCTATCACAACATTCCTAATTTTCAGTTGCTGACATTTGCTTATGTGCCTCATCAGCTGTTCCCTTCAGCCAAGAGGACCATATCATGTCAATCGCTAACTACAACGGTACAGTAATTTCCGCAATATCCACAGGTTGACCATCAATAATTGGAGAGAAACAATCTATACTATTGGAGAATTCATGAACGAATTGTCGATACAACCTGACGGTGTGTTGTGTCTAATCCACCAATTAGTCATTCCACCCCTACCTCACGAAAATCGATTGGGTGTGAAGAGAATAAAGTCCTTGGCTCGAAATATGTGTTGGTGGCAGAGATAAGTTTGTATGTCAGATGCATCATAAATAATTGTGATTTGTGTATCCACAAAATAAAAGAAAGGCCGAATCATTGGACACTCTGGCTGGATAGTTTCTTATCATCGCATCGCTTGAACACAGAATTGTGTGGACCGATTGCGGGTAAATATTATGACCTGGTCTTGATCTATTCGTCTGAATTATTTATTACAATCTCACCCTCCACGTCACTTATCTGAAAATGTTCCAGAAGAAATTCCGTATATCTTGGTACTAGGTAACGGATTATAGCTCTGCTCCACTGAACTGAAAGAAAAGCCAGACGGCACCAGGTGTTGCCCGTTGCTAGCGACGTCTTTGCATCCTTACTCAAACTCTACATCAGAAAACAAGGCGGAAATGTTGAATGGTATTGTGATCTCAGTTTATCTTATAACGTCTGCTGAACAGGTTACTATTCTGCTTCCGTACAGTAAACGCGTCTCATTATATAACAACAGAGAACCCAGTGTTGCTGTTTTAGACTAGGTGCCCGAAAGCATCCATTTAGTGCGTGGATTAAATAGGCCTGGATAATATTTTGTGGAAGCGATGGGCCACCGGTCAGAGGGCTAGTTACACAGTAAAACTTGTGGGTCTACACAGTGACTCAGTTCATTTGAGACGCGCTGACCAATATCATCTTCGAACCTGTGAAAACAAGGCAGTGAATAAAGTTCAGTATCTCGTATTACTGAAATTAAGTTCATTTCAACTAATACTCATGCAGTCCTCTTGCGTCCAGTATTGTCTATAATTTCCAACTTATCTACAGATCAAATTTGGGCTCAATCACCAGTTATGCAAGTAGAATCAATTTCATCAAATTTCACTGTAACAGTGGTAAGGAACTCGTCTCAAATTATCTCACTAACTCTGAATTTGCCTATTTTGTTGTTATCAGAGAATGTCTACTATCTTTACTGTTCGTTCTTAAGTGAAACATGTTTTTATTGAATGACAGACCAAGTGTGAAATCAATATGTAGTAAGCACTTGTCCAAGATATATGCTGTTGTGTACAGTGACCACACTGGATTAGACGTATAGACAAACTGACCACGTAACCATTTTGGGGGAGTAAATGTTCCCGCTCTCCTACTGTTAGGACACTCCGACTAGCGGTCACTCACGATGAATCACCCGAAAGTTTAGAACGACGCTATGAGCTTTGTATGTCGACATGAGCGCAGCCTGTAACCGGAATGTCTGGACAAGAAAAGTGACTATAAAACTGAAGATAAGTAACATCGCTACTGTCTTAGTGAATGTTGCTTGTCACCAACCATTGTCTGGTTCATTATGTCAAAAGACATTTCGTTACTTCCAACAGCAACTCTCCGAATGTTATACCCCATAAGCTGTGCTTTTTGCTCTTTGAATTTTGGCCGAAAATGATACTCATCGAGAATAAACGGCGACAGTACTCAATATTTGTAGATAATTTTGCTGCCTCATGTATGGCTTACTGGAGTGAGATGTTCAAAGGAGGGTGCAATCGGATAATGATTGCTGTCATAAACAACATTGACCAAAATAGTAATTGGTCAAAAGATGCCTGTTTATTGTGCCTCATTATTTTAGACCATTGATCAAGCTTGCTACATTCAGTTTCCGATCGGATGCGTTTTATCCCGTTTATTCTCAATTTTACTGAGTTTTCTACCCCCCCCCCCCGGAAGTACCGAAATGCCTTTTGTCCTGAAAATCTCTTATCTTTCAGTCCTTTTGCCACTTTTCATGGAATTGTTGGTGACTATTCTCTAATATGCCCGACTGGATACTGATTGCTGAAGTGAGCAGCCTAGGGCATCAATCCGACGCGTAAAACACGCGGACGATGTTCATGAGACAAAAGAAGTTTGACAATGGGTCGCGTAGCTAACGGTCACAACAAATATTCTGCATTAATAACCTCGGCGATTAGACGGAAAACTCAGTTCCAACTCAAACCAACAACGGACCCATCAATCTGCTTTTGAATAAGTTTGTTTGAGCGTAATTATATTATAATCGGATAAAATCGTTTATCTCAAGTTACCGATGTGAACTGATTGCCGTCTCAAGTGAACGATTTGAAGTACGTGTTAGTTTTCAGTTGCGTTCAGATTGTGTTGTGAATTTATTTTGCCCACAGTGGATCTTGGCATACGAACTCTGGCTGAATTACCTTCCCAGTCACTATTCCTGTCGGTCTCATTGTTGATGTCGAATATCCCTATTGCCCAACGGGTTTTATGATAAATTTCCGGTAAACATGGGAGTGTGTGTTCTGTAGAGTTGCTTTGTTTTCATGTCCATATCACCTTAACTAATAGATCGTACTGCGTTGCCTTATTTGTAAGGGATTTCTAAGTAAGCAGGTAGACTCTTGACCAAGTTGCGATGACATCTGTCACTACAACAAGTGTTTAACACACCCTAACAAGAAAAGCTAAATTGTTCTTTCTTGATGCGGAGAGCATTTCGTGCCATGGTGTTCAATCTAAGTAAGTGCAACAGTGAAGCAGAACCATCAAACTGATCACGCACGCAGAAGTTATACAGGGATCTTGTCAAAACTGTTCATGACACATCTACTTATTATAAACGATCTCTACCTTGTGGTTTTTTGTGCCGAATAAGCAATCACACAGGTTTGAAGGATCACACCTCGAGGTAAAAGACAATGCTATTCGCAAGAGAATTCGTTCAAACCGTGTAACAAAAATAACGTTACACCAACCAGTGTTCGGTG